TACTACATGGTGGGTCTAGTGTGCTGGGTGATAGACCCAGAAATGAGTAGAGTCACAGCAAGACAGGAAAGGCCAATGAATACAATGAAAACCACAGGTCATGTTGAAAGTGATGCATATGCTGTGGGCAAAGCCAGAGCGGCAGGAGACTCTCCAAGAAATGATATCCTACTGGGGTCTTCAGTTGTGGTATTAGGGAGGGCTTCTGATTGCAATACACAAAATGCCACTCTGGCCAAGAAACAAAACAAAACAAAACAAAAGGAATGTGCAGGAAGGATTTGAGCAATGCAGAATCTCTCTGCTCAAGGGCATGGAGTGGCTGGCCTGGCTTGGGTGCCACCCTGACCAAGAAAGGACATCTCACCTTGTTTGAATGTCACTCCAGCAGCACATGACTATAGCTATGTAGTCGTCCCCACACAATTGGGGTGCCACTCTCCCAAGAACCAAGGGTGCATGCTAGCCAGGGAACATGTCCGCCGTTCACTAGCAATGGGAAGGATTTCTGCTGACAACTGGGCAGGACGTTACTCCAGGAGCAGGGGATGAGTAAAGAAGCAGAGATGGGAAATCTCAGATGACAGGAGGGGAAGAATAAGTAGACCAGCTTGGCTGGAGCCAGATGGTGATGGGGCCTAAGTAATATTGACCCAGAATCTGAAATACCACCTCAGTGCCACACAAATAAGTTTAGATGTTATTTTTTATACAAAGGGGAGCCACTAAAGGTATGTGGTGAGCTCAGGTCCAGGGTTATTTATATAGATCTTTGCAGGGAGGAAGAATCAGTGACAGGAAGATCAGTTAGGAGGCCATTGCAATGTTCAAGGGAGATGTAATAAAGACTTAAGACAAGGTAGAGGCAATGGTTGATGATGCTGAAAATAAATTTCTTTTCGAAAGAGAAATTTAAAATTGTATCTTCTCAATGAAGCCACTCCTCTGTGGCCTAAATTTAGTGCCACCACCTCCAGCCACACAGGCTATGCATGGCACATGGAAATTAATAGCTCTCCTAAAGTTGCCCGACATGGCAGCCCTGCCCAGAGTTTCTGAAATATATGGGTAAATAAATATCCACCGCTTCCTCATAGAGACCTCCAGTGATCGAATAAATCAAAAAGTCTCAGCAAAGCAAGGAATGAAAAAAAAAAAAATTAGAGACAGGCAAGGAAGGACCGGCAAGCAAGGGACAAGTAAAATAATAAGAAGGATTTTACACTCTGAGGATGATGGATCTTGAGCTACATAGATGGAGAGATGGATGGTCAGAGGCAGAACAGCTTCAGGAAGGGGAAATCAGCAGTATATGTTTCAACAGTTCAGGGAATCCAGTTTCCATTTTCATCCAAGCATAGTGGTGTGCCCTGCTATTCTCAAGAAACTAATTTCACTAAAAAACCCCCCTGGCTTGACTGCATTACTGTAGGGATGACTACCTACCAACCAGTCCTAACCCTTTCCTCCCGCACCTGCTTCCAAGCAGGGCAGCCAGAGAGTCAGGTACCCTCTTTCTCAATACCCTACCACTGGGAGGGGCCCTGTGGCCCAGTCACACAGAATGTGAGGGGCAACATGCTGAGGGTTTGTGGAACGACATCTCCTTCTCTATAAAATAGAGGAGCTCTGCTTTTTGCCCTGAGATATCCTCTGTGGCATTGTGGAAGCACTTTGCAACTATAATCAAAATGCAGGAGAATCAGAGACTCTGACTCAGGTCCCATTATCATGGGGATGCCCAGTCAACAGAGAACCATTTGTCTTCTTGTTAAATAAACAGTGTGTTCTTAAGGGGTAAGCCCCTCCTGGGTGGGCTTTCTCTTACCTGCCGATGAATGTGTCCTGAACTGCTGGTACAGTTCCAGTTGAAGGATATAAAACGTGCATTGCCTGTATCACAAGCATTTGAATCTGAACTTGTTCTATCCACCACCCAATGAATGAATACATTGCACCCGGGCAATGAAGGACCATTATTGACTGGGTCCTTCTGCACCATTACCTCCTGGGAAAAAAGAGGCACATTTATTGAACTGATGAATAATTATAATAATAAATAATTTTTTTCAACATTTCAACCAACATCATTCTCTCTCCCTAATTTCCAAACAGTACACCACATCTCTATTTTAATAAAACTGATATGAACTTTTTGATGATATGTTTCAATGATGACTTACTTATCCATTGACAAGTTTTCCATTTGCTAATGTATGATAAGCAATCTGCTTCAAGAAATTTTATGTTCTTTGCTTTTTTTAATTTTTTAAATCTTTATTCCTGAAATGAAGTTACTCAGAGTGGGCATGACAAAGATGTTTTGACTTAAAATAATTAGACATACTATTTACAATTAAGTTTTGAAAAGAGCAGGTTTTTAATTCCCACAATTCTCTATGTTGCTACATTGTTGTTTCAGGTCTTGTCATTAGCAGGTTGTCTGTGACAAGAGCTGCAGTCACTAGAAATGTTAAGGCATTGGGGTGGATGAACCTTTCTCAGTACGCTGTGAGTGTTGAGCTAAAGTGTGAATTTACTTTCAATTCTATTGATCCATCATTTTACATAAGATTTTAGCTCCTGTTTAAAAGTTTCTTTGGGTCTTGTTAAAGCATATCGTGTATCAAAATTTTCATCTGTCAGATTTTTGGAAATAAAGTTTATTCTACCAGACACAAGTAATAAATTGAAGAGTTTGAGCTTACATTTTTTTCAGTGGTCTCTTGAATTTGCTATTACATGCTTGCTCTCAGAAAGTTGTTCTTAAAAAAGAATTTTTAAGGCACAGCTTGATTTCAGCTCTCTCTTTCCATGCCAGATTGTTAAGACCAACAATATACATCTATGTCCCTCTTAGGAAGCAGCAGAGAATGCTGGTGCTGGTGACTGAAGATAAACTCATTGCCTGGTTCTAATTAATCTGAATCTGATACAGCATCTATGTTGACACAATTAAAAACTAATTTAAACATATTGAACATGAAAACAATTCAGAGAAAGAAAAGGGCATAACAATTTATAAGTGACCAACTACACAGTAAGCTCAGACTTCTATAAACTGCACATCTATTATTTAATATTAATGATCAAAGCTTGATAATTTATTCATAATATACAGTAAAAATGTCCTGAATGTTGGTGTTGCTTAAATTACATAATGTCCAACCTGGACTAGAGGTTAGAATCACCAGAGATGTCTACTAGAGCATGTCCTGCTGGGTGGAAGAAGCCCTTAGTGGCCTGCACTGGACAGCCATGGACCAGCACCCTCGAGGGTCTAGCCCTTGTACTTCAATGCAGTGCCCATCACTAACAAGTCATAGAGTGAGCTCAGCCAGTTGCCAGAAAGACACAAGTAGGGCTTGAGAGAACTACTGTATCTCATTTCAACTAAGTCTGATTTGGTTGCTGCATTATTAAACCAAGAGCAGTAATTGTGATAAAGGGCTCCCTGAGAAAAGGTTGAAGTGCTCAGAGGAAATGAGAGCACATTTAGGACTCAGACTTCATTGCTGCTGTTAACAAAGAAGAAACAAATTTCCTTTGGAATCTGAAGAGAAAGTTTCTCATTTGTGGCTGACATCAAACAAAAAACCAATCCTTGTGTCTCTTCAGATAATCCTGTCTGCATTTCAAGATCCTGTGTGCATTGACATCACACTAAATACCTGTGTAGCCATACCATCTTCCAGGAAAGATAACAAGAAATAGCATTTGACTATCAGACTTACTATGCATCACAGGGTAGGAATGTACTGTATCTCAGATATGTACTTCCTGTTTCTATTTTGAAAAACTGAAGTGTACCTGTGTAACCTGAGATAGGGAGGTAAGTGAGTTGGAAGGACATGGAGAACAATCACCCCCTTCTTCCCCCTTTCTCTTATAGACTGAATGCTTGTGTCACCCCCAAAGTCATGTCTTGAAACCCTACTGCCCAATGTGATGGTATCAGGAAGTGGGGCCTTTAAAAGATGATTATAATTAGTTCAGCCAGTGTGGCTCAGTGGTTGAGCATCAACTCATACACGAAGAGGTCACCGGTTCGATTACTGGTCAGGGCACATGCCCAGGCTGTGGGCCAAATCCCCAGTGGGGGGCTGGCAGGAGGCAGCCAATTGATGTTCTCTTTTATTGATGTTTCTATCTCTCTCTCCCTCTCCCTTCCTCTCTCTCTAAAACCAATAAATGAAAAAAAAAGTTTTTTTTAAAAAAAGAATCAGACAAACCCACAATCATAGTTGGAGAGTTCAACACTCTTGTCCATAACTGGTAGAACAAGTAGGAGATCAGCAGGGATATAAAGAACATGAACAATGCTATCAACCAACTTGAACTCTATGACATTTATAGAAATTTCACCCCCAAAAAGCAGAATATCCATTCTCTTCAGATGATATGGGCCATATTATGGGCTACAAAGCAGGTTTGATTAATTTTAAGAGAATAAAAATCATACGTTTGTATCTCTGACCCAATTATTTAAGTAATTCATTATACTAATTAAATTTGTTATTATTTTTAATTGAACAATTAAAATATAAATCAATAACAGGGACATACTGAAAAAAATCTCCAAATATTTAGACATTGAACAGCATGTTTATTAATAATCCTTAGGATGAAGGAATCACAATACATCAAAAGTTGTGTAATGTATGTAGCTAAAGCAGAGGGAAATTTATTGCGTACAATTTTTATATGAGAAAAGAAGGAAGGTCTTCAGTGAATGACTTAAATCTTCTCTTTTAAAAGTTAGAAAGGGAAGGTTAAATTAAAACAACAATGGAGAGAAAGGCATTAGTAAAAAGAGGATACATCAATTAATGCTTTTAAAGAAATACGAGCTAGCAATATTGCTCCAGGAGAACTCACTTTTCTAATCATAGAGGCAAGTACCTGGTTCATTCAGAAATGAGCAAGGTGAGCTTCAGAAATTGTCCAAAAACAAGTACCCAGTTTGGTGGGTCATAAAATAAAATTTTAAAATGGCTTGCATACATACCTGGCAGGGGAGATACCATGATCACGAAGGAGGTGTTCCCTGGGGGTGGCTTGTCCATTGCACTCCAGATGTGCTGACCCCTGCGATCTCCCCAAATATGGGAAACTCGACTGCACAATTAGTGGTAGTGGGGGACTGTGTTCGCATTCTCCCTTTTTAAGAGAGAAAAGGGGGGGGGGATGTCTTGTAGAATGTTCTCTGGGTAATTAACCCAGAATTCTCAGAAGTGTTACAATAAAGTACTGAAGTTGACAGGAAGTATGTTGGAAAGAGCCTGCTGTAATATTTTATTTTCTATCAAAGCTTTAATCTTAGAAGAGTAAATTTAGTTACTCATTTTTTTAATGATTAAGAATCTGGCATCTTTAAAAACAGGGACTGTTTGTTATGCATGTTGCTTAATCTCAATCAGCCTGTGAAACAAAATTTCAAACTCACAATCATTTAGCTGAAACTCAAGATCGCAATTTCTACTTGTTTGTTTTCCTTAGGTAAATTTGGGAGATTTTGGTTGTTGGGGATTTTTCTTTTTTTCATGAAATTTATTAAATACATGCACACTTCACACACACTTCACTTTTACAGCAATAAACCTCTGTTTTGCTGGAAACTCTTTGCAATTACCACAATTGAATTATTCTAGGCAGATATATAAGATAGAATATATCCTTTTTTTTTAAAGCCAATGACACTTATAGCATAGTCTCCCAATACTATGAATAAACATTTTCATAAAATTTTTCAGTTCTCCGATTCCAAGTGTAATTTCTGGAGATTGTAAATGGTTATTTATATGTCCTGGAAGCAGACCTTTGATGGACTAATCCCTATAATCCATCATTTTTCTTTCCTTCCCATCTGTGTCATGAATAATTTTTACACTTGATTGTACAAAAGTTCTGAAGCTAAATTTTAGAAAATGTATACTTTTGTGGCCATCTGCTATACTGCATGATCATGTGTACTAATATTACCTTTCTCAAGGTGCTCCAAGTTGTTTTAACAAAATTTGACCTTTCCGTTATGACCATCTTTCCTATTTACAAGCTTTTCACAGACATGTTTTAAAAAACTGAAAGTAAATTTTGCATTTTCATTCTTATGAAGATGGATTGTCATGTTTCTTCCAGGATAATCATGGATCATTTTCCTTGCAGGGGACTATTTGGAAATACAAGTGAAAGCATCAAATACAACTGTGCAGTTACAGACTTTGTTTCATGATCTTTTTGATGAAGGTCAATATCATTTGTTGCTTTGGTGGTAACCTATCTCATGAAAATCCTTAAGACATCTCAACCAGATATCATATACAAGTATAAACCAATCATTAAGAAAGACTACTTCTTCTAATTTGCATGTGAATAAGTTTCCCCAAATCATAAACCTCATAGTAGACAGGAAGGGGAGAAAGCTGGGAAGGGGTTCCCATGCCCATTGTCCCCTAGCCTTGAGGATCTGTGATTTGAAGAGCTGTTGAGGAAGAGAGTGGTGAATGAGGGGGAGGGAGCAGACATAGCAGTTAGGATGGTTTGGGCCCAAACAGGCTGAAATCATGGGGCACTTCAGATGAACAGTAGCTCCGGGGCAGGATGGCCAGCTCTGCCTCTCCACTGTGCCCTTGCCCCCTCTCCTCCTGAGCCAGGTCCCTCGTCCCTGCCCTGGCTGGCAGGAAGTAGGCACCTGCAACTCCAGCTTCACACCCCCAAACACACAAGCATCCAAAGGTGGAAAAAAGTCCTCCTTTCCCAGGTCTCCTAGGAGCAAGGGCACATTTCCAGGAGCACCTCATCTCTCAGTGGCCAGGATTGACTTGCAGGTTGAGTAGTAACTATACAACTAAAAACGCCTAACACAAAACAAAGCTCATCCCCTCAGTCACTTGGGATTTCAGCTGCAGCCACGGGGGACCATCCCTGCGGGCTCACACTCAGAATGCAGCACCCATCTCGAGCACTTGTCTCACTTCTTATTCTCTTCAGACTCCTCTGCAGCCTCAGAAGTTCACCCAGGGCTAACCTCAGCCAACAGGGATCCCAGGAAAGGACACTTGTCGGAAGCATCTGCATCCTCTCAGCAGTCCTGGGGGAATGGGGTGTCACAGCCATAGTGAACCTTGATAGGGCTTCCTTCTTCCCAGCCTCCTCCACTCATCCCCCCGCCTGACACCGTGCAGTCATCTCCACAATGAATTGTAGTCTAAGCCCTTACCTCAGGCTCTCTTTAAGGGGAACTTAAGCTCAAATGCCAGGCTTAACCCTTTTCAGGAAGGACAGAATGCAGTCCAAAATGAAGACTGGCATTCCGTATGTTTGTGAGGCTTTGAAGAACTCAATGAGTTTTCCTGCATTCAGGTAAGGGCTAGGGTGGCCACGTGCAGCCACCCAAGGTGTTCTGTCCATGTACCACCCCCTTAGAATTATGCAGTGTGCAACCTGCACCCTGTATGCAGTGGCTTTGGGAGAAGGGGAAATGGAGTGGGCATCCCCTCTCAGAGGCATCTGGATAGCTGGGGCTTCTCTAAGAATTCTCTCTTCTTCTGGACCCTCAGTTACATGTATTCTTGGTCATTGCCTTTGAACAAGCATTTTGCCTGGTGTGTGAAATTTCAATATAGGAGAAAATTTTCAAAATACCAACAATGTTATTTCTGTATTTGGAATACCCTCAATATATCTAGTTCGACATTTATTTCTATACTTTAATATGTCTGTTTAACTTTTGAAGAAGACTTTGTCTTAATTGATATTGAGAAGCAATTCTATTTACCCAGCAGAAATATTCAAGATTTTTTTCTCCTTTCATGTGTTGTAATTTTCAACATGTTTCATATTTATAATTATTTAATAACTATTCATAATTATTTACAATACTTTTTATTTAATAATTATTAATGATTACTTACAACAGTATAAAAGTTTATATTCTTTTTTACTTTACCTTTATTTCCTTGCTGTTGATAATTCCCAAAGGTTTCTATCATTGTTAATTGAATATACCTGATCATAATATTATGAAAATCTGAGGATTTACGTGAATAAGGGTTGCTGTTTTTTTAATAACAACTAAAGTAATGAGAGTAAAGAAGGCAAGTTCACACCGAAGTGCTCTGAATGTGAAACCTTCTACCAGAACTTCACAGACACTCTTTGATGCTTTCAGGGGCTCTGAGAGCCGAAGACTGTCCCCTCCTCAGAGACAGAGGCTGAAATTCAGAAACATAGCCTGACTTGTCGTCCAGCTAGATAATGGTAGATGGAGGAGAAAACTTGGGATTTTAAATTAATAAAATACCTATAAAATACTTACAGGTAGTTTCTATAAAATACCCTTTTAAATCAAAATACTTTGTAGCTGGAGAGTTTCAGACTACAGCTAGAATGTACCCATTAATCATGGTACAAAATCTATGTGGCCTTTCTTTTCAAATAACATTCTTGGGCATTTAATTGAGATGATACATTTTTAAGCACTTCAAAGCAACTTAGCTCATGCTCCATTCTGTCTACATTCCTCAATTTATCTGAGCCAACATTTCTGCCCTGGCAAGACAGACGCTGGAATAAACAAGAGAAGCTATGTGAAAAAGAAAACATTTTTGTACTTCTACCACAAGAAAATAGATAGAGTAACCATTCCAATTATATCTGCAAGAAAGTAAACTCCAGTAGAAGGTAGTTGGGAGAAAAAGAAAACAGACTAAAACCCCAACTAGAGTTTTTAGAGTACTCCTGGATTTTAAAACTGGTGTGGCCTATATTTTGTAAGCTATTAGTCAATAAATATAAGCATAAATTAAACAATGAATTCATTAGCATTTTTGAAAAACTTTATATCATTTACATTTATAATAGAAAGAAAACATATATAAGTGTGTAAGATATGTTACTTTTTCCTTAATATAATTTTTGTTAATGTAAAACATTTTATAGATGAAATGATAAAGTCAATGAACAATTATAAATGAATGTCTGACACGTGTTCAATTTCTTAATGGTGAAAGGCTTTTAGAAATGAAAGGACAAAATCAAGATCGCCTTTCTTGGGAGCCTCCTCTCTGGTTCTCTGCAGATGAAACATCCCCATGGGACTATAGACCCCCATCCCCAGACACCAAGACATCAGTTCAGCAAGTGACATGCTTCAGCAAAGAATAGAGTTACACATTTGACTTATTTCCCTAGAACATGTGGATGTTCGTGGTTAATTACTACTAATTCCCTTCATATTTATAAAAAGAGTTTTATATTTGATAATTGAAAAACTCAATAAATGTATAGACTAAGATTTTTCATGATTCAAATTTAGTCTGAGCTGACCTGGAAAGAAAGAAGTACCTTTTTAATCAATAGTAGATTCTATTGAAGCTACTATAATATTTTTGCCAATTTGAAGGGAAAGAAATCTAATTGCAAATCCCTATAACAAGTCTCCTTGGGTTGACCTAATATCTGACAAAGCTTCTTACAGCCCTCTTCCTCTCTCTGAATTTCCCAAGGCTGTTTGGGGTGTGTGGTTTCTGCCTCTTAGCAAAAGAAGATTTCTAGCAGTGCAAAAACATCACTCAGCTTTATGGACCAGGGGACCAGACTGCTGCGGAGAGCAGCTGGAAAGATCAGCATGCAAGGATGCCAGGCCAGACCTTTTCATGCCAAACTTCTCCCCCCAGAGGTCCCCTCCATCTCTGCATCCACTCTGTGGTGCTGGCCCCAGGGGAAGGCAAATAAAGTGCTAGCTCAGCAGCCTTCAAGGCCCAGTCCCCCTGACAGATGGCACAGGAGGAACAACACCGAGCTTTTGGGAGGGAGCTCGTACACGTGGAGTTTTACTGGAGGGTTTAACGTGTTTAAAGAAGCATGACTTGCTTAGGCAGAACTAAAACAAAACCCTAGGTTGTCTTTTGTTCCCTCTGGATTGGCACCAACTCACTCTGACCTCCCTGTTTTCTTATCCTCATAGTGTGTCAAGTTCATCCTGTGTTCTACACCTTCGTGTGTGTTCTGTACGGAGAGCTTCCTCGGTTTTCCCAAACTTAATGGAGTGGCTAGAATTAAGCAGTCTAAAATTTTTGTCATAGCATGGAAATTAGAACTGAGAAATTTCTGGGGTAGATCATCCATGTGTTAATTCTTAGTTTAGGAAGCCTGACTTTCCAG